AAGATGGGTCTATCTGAAGTCTTTTTGAGTGTTATGTACGCCCGCACAAAATTGACATACCCTACCATCATTTATGATGTAGGGCATAACAAATTGTTTTTGTGTTTATTTCATATATATATACATGTATATATATACATCTTTGATATATTCTGTAGGGTATAGAGCGAATTCCTTCGTTGATATTTTCATGTTTTTCTATTTTGTTGTTGTAACTGGAACTAACCCTTTCTTAAGGCTTAAATGCAACGTTCTTTGTTTTTTATTTTTGTCCCTTTTAAATATTCAGACTCTTAAGCTTGTGTTTCAACGTGAATACTTGTGTGTTTTATTTCTCTTCAAAATTTTTAAGCCTTTGTGTATTTTTTTATTAAAATATTCTTTGGAAATATTTTTATACCCACTACCGAGGGTTAAGGGTGTAATAAGTTTTTCACAAGAAGAAACCTGAAAGAGACTTTATAAAGTATATATAGTCGTTGATCCAGTATCATGTCTGTCCGTCTTTCTGAATGAATGTTAAACCTTTGCAAAATTTAAGATATCAAGAGGTACTGTTATTATTCACCATGAAGTAAAAAGGTCAAAGAACAAGACCCTACAGCTAACAAAGAACTCTCCTATAGTATCACATAATCTGAGCAGATCCTTGCTTCTAATGGGAGGAAACAAAATATTAACCCATGAACTATTTTTATTACTTTACTAGAAGACCGGAAGTTCTATTCATGCTTCAACATATTCATTTGACGTAGATTTGGTTCGCACTTTTTATCACTAAACCTATCGATAAAATTCATTTATGTCTTATGTACGAATTCCAACAAGGAAGAAACGCTAGGGAAACGTAAAAATTGATTTTTCTTTAATATCACCAAGCACTCGGGGGATTTGCCCTATTCATGTAATACGTTGACTGGCAGAAAGAAGAGAGGGGTTGTGGCCGCCCAAGTGATAAGTACTAGCGTTTATCGATTGACCACTCACCGTATATTCGACCAGAGAAAACCTTGCCGCACTTGAGATTTGAACCCGCAAGCACTGAGTTGGTATCGTGTAGAAAAATATTGAAAGTGTTTGATGAAGGTTCAGTTTCTGATAGAACATGCAGAGAATGGTTCGAAACATGTCTCCCTGTTAAGCCATGCTCTGAGCTAGCGATCTTTGATCGGCGATACTGCTAAGACCATGTTGGTGCAAAATCTTTTTTGGACAACCGCGGAGATTGCCGAAAAGCTCGATTCAGGATATTTGGAAACTAAAAAGCTAATTACGTTGGAGAAATTTAGTTTTCACAGTTTTATTCAGCTGTTTTAGCAAAGGTAACTTTCAGTTATGCGATTAGTTCCTAGGATTTTGTTTTATTCCAAAAATGGATAGAAGTTTGTAACGAAGATGAACGAAGGTAAGAATAGCGACTCTAATAAAAAAAAAGTAAAAAAAAAATGGATGAAAGGATGACCCTGCAACGTAGGCGCGAAAATAAAAAAATCAGTCGCACCCATTATATGTTTACTGATTATCGAAGTTTGATTTTTTTTTAATTTTTTTATTTTTTTTATTACAAATTTAGCCAGAGAATAAATTGTAAGACTAAAAGTCTTTAAGCACTAGCCTGCCTCTAAGATTTTCGGCTTTAGTAGCGCACTTCAGACTTGAGAACCCCACGACCATTGAATTGCTAGTCGAGACTTTTGGTTATTAGGCAACTCAGGCGGATTTTTGTTTTTAAATTATTTTTAAGTTTTAACTTATTTGGATTTTTTCTTGAGCCTTTTTTTTCTCTTTTATTTTGTTTCTGATAAAGGTAGTAGATGTAAAAGATTCGGCCAAGATCGCACGCAATTTTCTTACAATTTTTTTTTACATTGTTTTATATTCCCCCTCAGCCGACACACATGTATGGTTTTCTCCATGGGGTATAAAGTCATTGCGGTGGAAAATATATTTACAGTAGAAGAAAAAGAGAAATAAAACAGCAAAATATTTGCATACACTCGAGTTTACCTGTTTATAAACAATATATATGCACAAGAACGCCTGAAAGCGAATCGTGTATACCCATCGTTTGGATCCAATCGAGATGAAGGCTTAAGGCTTCCGGATTTCGAGCGAAGTGAAGAAGTCACGTTTGCTTCTTGCATAAAAAAAGGAAACTATCTAAATAAATGTACATCGGCATAGCGTTGGTTTTCTTTACATGAAACTGGCCGACTGTATAAGGAACTTTGCATTGGGTTTCGACGAGATGTGGGCAGTACGTTGAAGGGTCCTTGAAGATTTTTAAAACAGCTTCACTTTCTGTGAAAGATGAATCACATATATTAAAGCAAGCCCTTAACCTATAAGCGGACGTAAGGACATACATGCATAAATAAGTTTAAAATTCGTGAAATCTGAATAAGGTCTGTCATGCACATTTTGGGGCGATTACAAATGAAATGAGAAAATCGATATACCGTAACCTTTGCACATGGCGGTGATTATATAACCAAAAAAAAAAAAACCTTGACGTTGCCGCTGCTGTGTTTATATTCTATTCTATGGATACAAATATTTTTGTTTAACTTTTTCTCATTCATCCACCCATACAAATATACATATATTATGTACAAAAAAATATATAAAAAAAAAGGAAGAAAATATTTTGCACACTTGAGGATAGTTCCTATCTGCATGTGCTCGACAATATGACAAACTAACCTGTAAGAGAACAACATCTATTCACCTACACACAACTATACACATATACGTGTCTTTATATGTATTTTCGATAAAAACATAAAAACATATATACAGAGAAAGCTATGAAAAGGTTGATGTATCCTTCCTTCTTTATCAAGCATCCCCGTGTGACTGTTTGCCAGATTGGCTATGACTTTGTATAGATTTCTTGCTGTCACTCCATTTCTCTGGTATCTGGAATACCTTTCCGTGCATTTGTGCATTATTTGCACTTAAATGTTTACGATATTGTTGCTGTTGTTGTTGTTGTTGTTGTTGTTGTCGCTGCTGCTATTTACTACGTTAGCTCTCGATATTGTCGTCATTAGTCTGTCAGCATATTAGTTTTGATGTATTTTCTATGCGAATGAATAATCATTGACATGAATGACAATATAACTGGAAACAAAAATCTTAATTCCCTGGTTATGTGTGCATGAGACGTAATCAACAACAACCACTTTTAGTGTCTTAGCATACGATACGATAGAAATATTGATCGGAATGGAATTTGTTTCCCTCCCACCTTTTTCTTCTTTGCTTTTTTAATGCCAGACAATGGGGATAAAGATTTTTGTAATAAGACGAAAAATAAACAGTCAAGCAATTAAAATTGAATGCTTATGTCATCCTTGTGTACAGGAATTCAACACAATAAGTAGTGTTTAAAGTATGCTAAGGTAATAGTTTTTACGTTTACCACAATGTAGGCAACATTTTTTTTTTCTTTTTATAGGCAAAGAGTCCTTCCGTCTCTTTCTCTTTAGGCAACATTCATTAAATTTCATTTTTTTTAAGAATCTTTCGTTAGGGATTTTGTGTATTGCTGTAGATTCCAATTATCTTGAAAATATTTCTCTTGTTTTGTTCTGTCTGCAAAAGATTATACTGGTGTGGACGAAACGTATGGGAAGCGCAAAGGTAAGAGTGGTTACGGTAGCGTAAAGTAGCGCTAAAGACTTTATAATCTAACATCCAAGCTCTGCGGAGGTGAGGGGTCCACTCACGAAATATTGCTTATGCTATGCAGAACAGCGTCCTTTGAGTGGAATCGACTAGCTGCTGGGTATTTGGTTTTGACCGCATGTTTAAAGTAGCAATTGCACTGTCGTTTTTCGATACTATTCTACTTTAAAGTATAGATCTCCAATTATTACTAAAAATGAATGAAGTTCTGGGTTGTTCTCCGCGGCTGAATTATATGATTGCTTTAAGCTATGCTACAGATCGTAAGATATACATAACAATAGATGAGTTATTTCTTATTTAAGCTAAAGGATTCTATTATTTCAACTTTCGAGATTGCCCGCAAGTTAAAAATAGTCAGCGCGAAGTTGTTTTTCGATACCGCTTCACTTTATATTATTACTAATATGATTAATTTAGTCAAGTAAATAAAATGTAAGACTAAGATTTTACAGCCTTAAAGTCTAAGGCGAACGGGTTTATTGAAAATTCTACCGCACTTGAAATTTGAATCCACATTCATTGAAAGGCTTTGCCTACCCGATCATTCAGGCGAATCACTTTATGCTGTATATTGTATATGGTTAGTAATAATGAATTAAATTTCCCATCTGATTCGCCTTAATAACATTTTGCTTTTGAATTTGAGCACTCAGTACCTTCGGTGCCGTCTTGAATCCTTACACCTTTTGATAAACAAACATTGAAAACAAAAAACAAAACAACACATTACAGTGGGGCAACGCTCATCCTTAAAGATCCTAATCTAGAATTCAATTATGGGAAGTGATCGAAGAAGTGCTCAAATTCGAAACATCTCTAACAGTATTTTCCAAGGGGACAAAAGGAATATCATCGCAATATCTCAAAAGTAGTTACGCGCACAAGAAAACAAAATGGATAAAGAGACTGACAAGATTAAATAGATGTCCAGAAAGTGATTCTGAATCTGAATCGGCATAACGAAAATATCTTAAACATTTGCGGTCTGTAGATTGAACACCAGAAATCGCATGGACGGGCAGAAGTGATTCTAAGAGATAGGTCTATTTCGAGATCTTCCAAATGCTGCATAAATCGGTACAAACTTACTGTACGCTTGCACCACAAGTAGTAGGATGCATAAAAACCGATTAATGAATACCTTTACCAATGTAGTTAGTTCTACTAATCATCTGGAAAAGTCATTTAATTTTTTTGATAAATATTTGAATCAATCGTTTTATGCGAAACTTCAAAATAATACTCTGGACATAAATAAAAACGAAAGAACAAAATTAAATTAAATGTTAACAATACTATTACGCGATATGATTGTTAATAAACTTCAAAGACCCGTCAGTTCAAATTACCGTCAAAGTATAGTAGTGCGTAATTTTTTATGTACATCGGTGCGAAGACGGAGACAACTTTCTTTACCGCAATTATCACCGTATTATGTCAATTTGCTTTTAAGAGAAAATGAATTCACCTATACGTTTACCGAAGAAGATTGTCCGGTTTATGGTTACGAGTCAAATCAATTGGGCGCGAATAAGCCATGTGAAGATGCAAGAGCCGAAGCTAGTTTCATGCATAAAAGTGCATTTATATGCGGCATTTTTGACGGACACCGAGGACCGGCTTGTTCACAAGCCATATCAAAACGTTTAATGCACTATATCGCCGCCAGTATAACCGATCGTCAATTGTTAAAAGAGCAAATGCAACAACATTGTGATAGTCAATCGTTTCTCAGGTCCTATAACGATAAGATGGATTTTGTGAGTGATATTAAGGATCTTTATGAATATAGTTTCATTAAATTCATACAAAGGATTTCGGTTCGGGATCAAAGTGAATGCTCGAAGGAAATTCAAAATGCTTTTTTATGTTTGGATAGCGATCTGTCTAAAGAAGCTATAAATTGTCCCAATGCGTGGACAATGTCGGTAGCTATGTCGGGTGCTACGGCTTGTATAGCTTATGTGGAAGGTAGGGATCTGCATCTAGCGAGTACGGGTGGTTGTACCGCTGTTTTAGGCAGTTACAATCTCGAAATAGATGAATGGGACGCGAAGGAGCTTACTACCTCACATGATAGCACCAATCGTCGCGAAGTAACCCGCGTATTATCTCAACATCCGCGAGAAGAACGGCATACCGCCATACAAAGTCATCGTTTGTTGGGCGGCTTGCAAGTCTTACGTGCCCTAGGAAATTTTCGGTATAAATGGTCGAACGAAACTATGGAGAAATATATTGTACCAGTTTATGGTGAAGTTGCCAAACTGCCATTTTATTATACGCCACCCTATCTAACGGCTGAACCGGAAATCAAACGTTACAAATTAATACCGAATGATAAGTTTTTAATTATGGCCAGCGATGGACTTTGGAATTTTCTAACACCTACAAAAGCTGTAAACATAATTGGCGATCATATAACTTCAAAACATATCTCAGATCCTGATCGGATAGCAGCCGAGGACAAGTCTTTGGAATTTTTAGGTGACTTCTCCATGAATTCTTTTGATCGGAATGCTGCTACGCATCTGTTACGTCATGCACTGGGGGCATCGGAATATGGCGTTGAACATTCGAAAGTCTCCTTTTATTTGTCGGTGCCTCAGAATGTGGTGCGTCTCTTTCGCGACGACATAACGATAACCGTGATTTATTTTAATAACGATTGCATTTCCGCCTTAACCCATAACGAGTCAAGATGCGTTTAATATTGAGAACTAGTGTCATTAACAAAAATTTATTTTGTAAATAATTTTCCCAACGCTGTTCGCTATATTTTGCAGCAGCCAATGGTTTAATTAAATGCATGTCTTCCTACGATATGCAGATGACATGAGATTAGTAATTAATTTTTTCTTCTTTTTTTTTTTGCTTTCTAAGGGAGCGTATATATATTTAGCAGAGATTTATTCACATATATATACTTGTTATTACGTACAAATCTTATAGAAATTTAAATACGATATATCCCTATGTCCATTTGTATAGATTTGATTGATAAAGGATGTACAGGCGAATTTTCTAAAGTTGACTGAATATTACTTTTAAGACTGCATTGTAATGGCGCTCTGCAGTGAGCAGCATAATGCGAAAGACCACTTTCGGAAAGTCTGTACAAAGATAGATGGTATTCGCTCTATGTTGAACACCACGACGCTTATCTTTCTATGTTTCCCTTCTCGATTTTAAATTGCTGCAGCCATCAAGAAATTCGCGAAGGGTTCATTCCGAGCTTCCGCGTAAAAACTTTGCGCCGAAGAACTCCCTTTCTCTCTCTCTCTCTCCCTTTACGATGTACCGTCCAAAGTTAGAGCATATTTCAGCTTAACATCAATCTTGTGTTTGAATTATCTGTACATTCTGAAATACCAATGTTTTGTGTCCCCTTAGAAACTCATGTATGCAGAGAAACACCGACACAATCATCCAGTGCCCTTAGCGCCGGCCCACTTCTTAGGTCTATAAAAAACTACTCATTCTAATGCAGTCATCGTACTGCCACAGTAGAAAATAGGTGATGATGTAGGCCGTTTTCAATAGACTTCCTGCCTTCTCTATGGAGAGTTTCCTTATCTATTTTGTATATTCCATCTTAAGTTAGCACGATCTGCGCAGACCGTCAGATAAGCTGAAATTTTCCATTGCAGAGTCACGATCTAGTTTCCCCACGGTAAATTTTCGGAATCCCGACTTAGGAATCACGGCCGTTAGTGGGCTATCTACAAATGAATACGGAAGAGAACCAGCGTAGACTTCTGATAGGTAAGTTAAGTCTACCAATTAGCTTGGCTTCTTGGCTACTTTATATATAATAAAACGGAGATATGGAAATTTTGAAAATTTCTCGTAAGAAATGTCTGAGCGATAGCATTAATATCCGCCTGTGTAGGTAGGAATCGCGACTACTAACTCAGTGTTCGCGAGATCAAATGTCAAGTGCGGAAGAGATTTCTTTGGTCATAACTATAGTGTCGGTACTTATCGATTGGGCACGCACCCACTAGAGTCTGCGGTCACCATCCTTCGTTATTTTTTTTTTTTATATCTTTTCTTCCTAACCAGCACCATGTTACACGAATAGGGAGCAATCCCCCGAGTGATTGGTACCTTAAAAAAAACATGTCGGTATAATTAATACCAGAGTTTCCCGGCCTCAGTCACTTTGACGGATTTTTGATTTTAAAAATTTAACATAAAGAAGCCCCTATCTTTACATGTTATACATTTGCTTTTAATGATATAATGCAGCAAAAGTATATACGTCTAGTTTTTGTTTTTCCTGAGACAGGACCACTTTGGTTATTTTAATCCGGTTATGATGTTATAAACTTATGTTTACGAAAATCTTTTAATCTGATGGGCAAACTTTGTGAATCGTCACAGTGCCGAAAATAAAGATAGGAGGCTGGAATTTGGCGCAAACATTTCTTAATCAATTAAAAATATGAGAATGGAAATTGGGCGTGATTTGCTTACAAAGTCGGTCATAATGAAGAAGAAACTAGAAGAATATCACATAATCTTCAACCTCAATGAAAACTTGGTTCTAATCAGCTTACTAACACGTTCACAAGTGCATTGTGGGCACGTCCCAGAAAAGAAGTGTAGACATATGTTTCCCGCATTAACAACAATTCTATATATAATGTAAAGATGTCGAAAACTCCTACTACAAGTATGCTACAACATTACTTCTTACTCTTGATTCTAATATGGCGGGTACGTTAATGTTAAGTTGTGTATAGCTGGATATCAAGAATTATATGAAAATCTTGAGAAACCGGAAAAGCAGCTGCAAATAATGGACTATAAAGTGTGCCAACAAAAAAGTCAAGAGAGGGCATTAATAACGAGGGCAGTTCTTCATTTGAATCAAACCCGACAGTTGTGCTAGACATAGCTGGTATACCTACTGATGACGAAGCGATCCAATCCGCAATAAACGTTTGCGCTTGTTATGAAGTAGTGACGAATAGCTGTAAATTTGATTTTTATTCCTAATTTTAGTTGAAATATTTATATGTTGCATTGATTTTAATTTTTTTTTGAGGTTTCATTATTACTTTTTTGTATCATTTTTAAAGAGAAAATTTGGAGTTTTTTTATCTTAAACGATTTTTTAAAGTTATGGAACATAACCTAAAATTTATCATGCATGTACATTTACATTTTTACGCGACTTTTTTTGCACGGTTTTTTAAGGATTAGTAAATTGTTCTTCTCCAACAATAGAGGATGTAGTTGTGACGAAAAACGGGCACGACATATAAAAAGTCATGATGTTGCGAGTTTTCAATGTGAAACCATTCGTCCCCATATAGCGAAACTTGCTCAGGAAATGGTTGCTAATTTGGAATGTCCTATCCCACCCGCTGCTGTCAGCAGATATTACTCTTTTTCGATTAAGCCGGGATTCACTAGATGATTTGTTATTTGCTTGAACAGTGCTTTCAGTCAGGCGACTATGCCGACAAATGAGTTGCCTTGGGGACAGCCTTAAAAGGCCAGACATTTTTTCGAGATGGAATTTGAGAATTGTCTTAGAAGTGGGAAATAGTAATAGCTAACGACGGACGATACTTTGAATATAAGACATTATACCAGTTCCTCTTCAAAGTTACACAAAAACCCTTGAAACTTATTTGACCTAAAAGAGTCTCTGCCATCTTTTTTGACCAAAATATTGGCAAAGAGAATGACAAAACTCTTATATAACGATTTTCATCAAATGGCGGTTAAGTAATTACCTTACGCTTGAGGGGTGTCTAAGATAAGACGTAAGTCATCTTTTTTTTATTTCTTTCGTTATGAATACAAAAAAGAAAAAAAAAGAGGTAGAAATAAACGGAACAAAAAAGTCCATTAAAAGAAAAACGAAAATCTTCAGTAAACTTAAAAGCTAAATAGCTTTTAAAAACTGAACTCTAACAAGAAAAGTTTGCAAGGCTGCGATGTGCGTGCTTCAAGGAAAAAAAAAAATCTTAAGAGAGATTTTTAATTCAACGAAAACTAATTAAGTGTAAAACTTATAGATTAGAAATTAAATGTCGTGTAGTGTTGTGATTTATAAGAAAATGTTTTATATTTTTTGATATTTTCATCTTTTTATTTTCCGGATAGAAGATAAAGGCACGAATATCATAAGAGCTCGAAAGACAAAAGCGAATGGGAATGCTTACGAAAATGTTAATGTTTATATATATATAATTTTTTTTTTTCTTTTTGAGAAACTTTTTCTCTTCTTCAATATGCTGCTTATCTATTGTTCTTGTTCACCTGGTTTTTTGTTTTTAAACTGAAGTGTGCATTGAAAATAACTAAATAATGATTTACGGTTCGTACTATGAAGAGATAAGTGGCAAAGGTTTTTATATTTCTCTGCAAGAAAAAATAGATTACGCCTTGTGGGTGGTCTATTTCGACTAAATGTCATATTTATAAGGTTTTATAACAATTTTCTTTTACAAGCTTCGATGATTTATTATGTATTATAAAAAATACATAACAATATGATTTATGATATAAAAAAAAAAAAAAAAAAAAAAAAAAAATTATCAAACAACTCATTGTAGAAAATGGCTCGAGTGAGAAGCATTTTGTTACTTGTAGTACTTATTGGAAAGCTTTTAAAGTACACGTATTTATATACATATTTAATGAAGGATTCCACGCAATGTTTCCCGGCGTGCTAACCTATCCGTCATTCATTCATGAGTCTTGACTCTCTCAAATGAAAGTGTCTGAAGTTCAGCATATACGTTCTTCGTGCGAATAAGTTAAACTTAGGAAAACACTTGATTCACTTATGATGATGTCTGCTCACACCAACAAACTCCACAATACTGTGAAGAAAGATTAATATTGTTGATATTCGAGTTGAATTGCCCAAGCTTTTCGAATATGAGAATATTTTGCGACAGATATATGTATCAAATTTGACATTATAAACGTCATTACCGTTTTGGGGGCGCTTAGATTTGTACAACAGAGAAAGTATTTTTTCTGATTTTTAAAATATGTGTAAGGAGATGATTTCTGACTATCAATCGGTCATGAAACGCATTGTTGCAGCAGATAAGACTTGAATTTATGCTTATCATCCGGAAACAACGGATTGATTGAGCGAATATCGTGCAAAACGGTTTAAGTTTTAATATTTTATAATGAAAATTGGTCCGTAATAGTGGTTTGGTATAAAAATTACGTTCAGACCACGTTGTTGGACCCTATCACTTGTAAGGGTTCCTAGGAAAAGTAGCCTTTTGTATGGCAACAAGACCTAAGTTTCAATAATTTATGATGAAAATTGGACCCAAAAAAAAAAATCGTACCAAATTTAGGCCAAGAACTATTTGTTGAACCTCATCTGATAGAACGTATTTCATCAAAAGCAAGCCTTTAGTTTCAGATTTGAAGTTGAAACATTCTTAATAGTTTATATTAGTAGGTATCAGAACAGGAATGTTAGACGATTGAATGTAGACAAACATGGTTTCAAAGTTCTCGATTAGCACACGACTGTTATTAAATGATTTTCATTCTCCCTCCAAAGAGAATACAAATTTCTCACACTTACTCTTACTTAATCTCAAATTTAATCTTAAACTTTTTTCAATTTTCCTTGACAACAAGAAGCTATATATATATATATAAACCGTGAGTAACTTCCCTATTTTCTTCAACTCTTCTTCTCTTCTTTTAGTCCATA